CCCCCCTTTTAAACTACCCTCACTTCAATTACTAAAAGGACTGCCTTAATCATTTCTGTGACTGCCAGTGAAATGGTGAGATGGGTACTTCTACTGTATAATGTTCAAAACTTGTGTTGAAAGAAAACAACCTACATTATTGGCAGTTTATGCACGAAGCAAGTCCAAACAAGCCAAACGATTTATGCAAGAAGGCTAATTTTTTGTCAATAAGATTGGGAGATAAAATCCACTTGAGATCAAATGTTGGACCCATGCAGCTTTTAATTATCTGATTTTTATTTCACAGATCTTGCCAGTAGCAAAGCTTTGTAAAGAACTCAGTACAAAAGTCTCCATTGATAACCAAAATTAATTTTTCTACATCCCCATCTTATTTAAGGTCTGTATTTTTTCATTTTGTATTTATTAATATTTTATTCCTGTTCCTTTTAGCCCTGATGACCTTAAAAAAGCTTGACTTAGCTTTCTTGGCCATTCCCTAATGGTTTATGTGAGAAAAGGGGTCAACATTTTTCTAGGGGTCACTAGGATAGCCCGTCCTCAGCACAAAATCAAGTGAGGGATTTGTAGAACATCTATCAAGAGAAAAAGCAATCTTAAAATCTTAAAACTCTTGTAATGGAATTAGCTGCAATGCCCCTCTAACATAGTTCTTTGTAAATTTATTTCTTAAATGACCACAAAAATTTCAGAGTTACTAACCAGAGCTAGGATAGTGGTCCTAAAAGCACCAGCAGTGAATGTCTGGAAAAAAATTGTGGTATGTACCTATTATTGTGTAAGACTGTCACAACTAGACTTAGAGTACCTGATAAACCTGTCATATGTATCACACAATGGCAATAAACCAAAGTTATTTAACCAAAGTTGTACAAGAATGATATTTTAATTCCAATGTGACAAAAGCAAAATCAATGTTTATTGTTCCTTAATAATAATTTGAGTTCTTCTCTGAATGTGATGTACAATCAACTGGATAATTCAACTCCCAGTAATGTAAAAATACAAATAGTGAGGTTGAAATACAAAGTCAGTTGAAATATCATGGTAAATTTTAATAATGTACCTTTAAAGTAGAACAGTACAGAGAAAATAGGGCAGGCTTAACAACTCTCTCACCTGAAACTATAGGTGAAAGATGGAAAGCTCACTATGCACATCTAGCAACATTGTACATGTACAGCAATATTCCTAAGTGACAGCATAAAATAAACTACACAGATAAAGCCAAAAGGCAAATAAGAAGAATAGAAAAATAAAATCTACACAAAACAAAGCAGCCACAAGAAAGACGATAGAGAAAAAAATATTAAAGTAAAGATGGCAAGAGTTGGAATGGCTGGCACAGATAACGTTGGCATACAAAGATTCCTAAGATTAGCACAGCTCGTGGCTCACAATACATGTATTTATTTATTAGTTACATACTCGATTCAAAAAGTAAAATTACCGAGATTATCACAAGGAACTAATGCAGAGGAACTGTTGAGTGAATTTGCATGCGACACATGGACAAAACATAATTTAAACAGCTGACGCTGACACCTAAAGAAATGGAAAAGAACTGTTAAGTTAACATATTCTAAGCAGAGCTAAAAGGCATTTAAACCTCCAAAGAAGTTAGCATGACACACTAAAATCAAATAAAAATGGAAAGGTTATACGTAAAACAACAATAATCATACATCTTCCAATAAATAACTTTGGTCTAAAATTCACCTCTGAGATCAATTACACTAATTAATCTGAATGTGAATAAGCTTATAAAGATTGGAAAATTGCAGAGTCACAGCACTTTGTTTAGTGATAGCAAAACCATAAAAAAATATCCAGTGCCAAAAGCAGTTCACAATCTTTAGATTGAAGGAAGGAAACAATAGATAAAGAAATTGTAATGACCAATAATATGGATATTTACTTGATCTGCAGAAGACAATTAAAAGGTTTTAAGTTGGCAAGTGCAAATAAGTAACAAATGCTCTATTGGGTATTGGCACAGAAAACACAGCATGTCATGGAAAGATAAACGCAGGCAACAAATATTTGATTGTGAGTAAAATTAGATAAAACTACGGTAGCAAGTAAGAGCAACGGTTGACCACACAAGGTGAAACAAAAATTCCTTTGCTCACATTAACACAGATTACAAAAGAAAATCTGTAGAAGAATGACACTAAAGCCAGATTTTGTAATGATGTCCAATGATTTCCAAAAACATCAAAAGTTAAGAATTTCTAATGCAGTTGTCTGCACAGCGAAGGTTGATCCCTCTAAACGGATACTTATGTTCTACAGGAAGGTGCCTTGATTCAACAATGTGCTCAGAACAAACAAAAAACAAAAAACAGAAAGGATCTAAAAATAAACATTTAGAAGTAAACTAGACCCCAAACCTACAAAAAACAGCTCCAGACTAGAGAAAAAAAAACAAAAAAAACTTGAAGAATACCATGTTGGTCTCATTTTTATCAAGCAATTTCCTTGTGAATAGCTACAGATCAATTAATTCTATACTATCTTCCACTAGAATAGTTTCCACCAGACCAGAAATAAAAATTGACTAGGAATAGTCAAAAACTTGTGAAATCACTTTTACAATTTTACAGAGATAATGTAACTACTACTTTACAATAGTAATAGCATTCTTCAATAGATCACATAAAGCATCAACAGACATATTCACCTCTTTAAAAAAGTTCAACAAGGTAAAAGTTCACCTTTCCTTTCTCTTAAATATTATGTTAATGTAAATAAATAGGAGTAGTAAGATGTGCTCCCTTGCTAGATATGTGCTCCAATAAAACAATTATATTCTACTCCAGTGAGCAAAATATCCCTAATCTAGAGATATACAATAAAAATGTATATGTTGTGCAACACTTCTCCCACGGATTTGAGCTAACTTTTGTTGATTCAGTCAATTAAAACATTTTGTCAACAATTTTGCAAGAATGTGTTCTCAAACGTTACAGTTAGAAACAAAAATTGAAAGACTGATTCAGATGTTGCAAACTTCTTCAACAAGACAACCAACGATAGTTTTTTGGCAATTTGAAAAAACAAAGAAAAAACAACTGAACTGTAGAATGTCCATGAGGAAAAAATACCTAATAAAAACAAAAGTATGACACATCCTCAACAAAAAGAGAACATAAAACAATAATTGAGAAAAATAAATGATGCAAATTACAGTATATTCTGTCAGTTATCATCACCCTGCTTTGTATCAAAAAGGCCACATGATTCAATGTCAGTCCAGATAAAACATCATCATTCCAGGCAGTGTGTAGCTTAAATGTATATAGTACTTACATACCAGTAAATGTAACAAGTCATCAATATTTAGCAAAAACAAATCTACCTACAAAATATAGGAACCACACTACCTTGTTGAAGGTAATTAGTAGAACACTGAGTGATTCAGATTTGATTTTTTGAGACTCTGCTCATATTGCTATGCTCCACTGAGGTAGGGTGATTGTCATAGACAGAGCGTTATGAACCAGTGACCAAAACACAAATTGCACTTCAGGGGCCTTACACTTAAAAGCGGCCTAAGTAGTTCCCAGTCTCAATAACATTATAAATGTAAACACTTCAGTAAAACAAAAATTTAAAATTTTCAACTACTTTAGCTTAAGTGAGATTTCAGCCTACAGTAAAAATGGAATCTGGGAAAAAGTCCCTCATAAGAAAAGTTGTACACAATAAATAGCAGTGATTAAATTAAAAGGTATTAAATTTAAGAGTGGAGAAAGTGATGTTCAAAAACAAAGCACCAAAGACCATTATTAGTCAGATGGTGCTTCAAGACCACATATCATGGCCTTCATAACACTTGCAGCAGCAAGAGCAGCATACGGCTGCCATTCAGAACGACGGGCACCATCTTTGTAATCAGCGATGCCTCTCAATATCTGTTAAAGAGAAATAATAAATTTTTCAACAACATATGGACAAATTTTGTGTAACAACAATGAAATTTTTGAATAATACCACATTACATACCGCGAAGTTGTCACGACAGTTTCCTTGCACACTTTCAATTACAGCATCAAACTCACAATCATAAGCCAATGCACCATACTTGGCTGAGAATATTTGACGTAACATATCTTCTCGTGCCACTTTTCGACCAGAAGCAATAGACCCAAGATGAATACGAGGGCATCCTTCTTGTCTGTGTGAAGTAATCAGGGTAAAATAAACAGTAAGAAGTAATTCTAATTGGTTTTCTTGGATGGAGAAAAAATATTCTTCTACCTTTTAGATGCTCCTTCAGCTGGTGAAGGATGGGCAACTTCAATGACATCACGTTCCCCAATTGACATGAAGAGTTTGTCAGAGTCAGCATTCGGCCTTGTAAAATCTTGCTCAAGCTCATTTGATGTAATACCCTTCAAGGCTTCATTTAAATACTGCATCCATGGAAAAGATTTTTCTTCCTAAAGGATTATAAGAAAGAAAGAAATTGGAGGGAAAAAGTTTAAGCATAGCAGGAGTATTGACTTCAAAAATAAAATACTTTAACAAAAGTAGGGCTTAAAACAAACCTGAGACTTAAGCTGAGCTGCTATGTCCTGGAGAATCAAACTGTTTGGACAGTATTCCTTAGTATCAAACTCAAAATCTCCTTCTCCTTCACCACATCGGACATATCCACAATAAGTGTACACATATTTTTTCTTTTGGTTGCTACTTGGGTGTGATACAACCACATCACCCAATCTCACATGTTTGGAATAGTCTGTATAGTGAGGAACACCACCTCCAACTCCCACCAAAAAGACATAGTCAACCTTCTGAAAGGTACCTAGGAAATAACAAAGAATCATAAGCGATACACAAATACCACCCAGGAGCTCCATACATCACAACCACAATAAATAAGATTAGATGATACAATGAAATATTTAGAGGACAACATTGACATACCCAACAGCCTGGTTGTAGTGTTCCCTGCAGCAGTCATTGCCTCCCTTGTATGACCGACACTTGGCAGTTTAGTGCTTACAATACGGTGGGCCCCAATGTTGCCCAGAGTGTAAACATTAGACTCTCCTGAAAAATGTTATGCAAGTTAAGATACAAGGAAAAACCTCAACGAATACCAAGAGTATGGTAAATAGAAGTATAGCACAGTACAACATGAACTTTGACAACAAATGTGTCTCCCAAAGCACACACAAAAAAAGGCCACATAAGCTTGGTAAACAGTTCACAATGACAATTTTCAATACAGCAACAAAATAATGTTTTGCAGATTTGCAATCACTTAATCATCTAGAAAAGTCAATAATAAAAGACACATAGAACAGACCAGTCAAATCTTCTTTAACAATAAATGAAAAACACAGAGCTACCAAAAACTCAATACAAATACAAAGAATCAAAAAGAATGCACCTTTAAAATTTCAGTGAAGGTGGAAACACATGCTTTTTATATCTTAAGAAAGATAGATTTCTAAAATTGTTGGAAGAGGAAGCATCCCAAAACAAACACAACACTGAAATCACAGGAACAAAACAAAGCCGATAATACATCATACATCACACAGTAACAGTAAGCCATGCACACCAAACCAGCTCAAAACAGGCCCTTTTAAGTCTCCTCCAGAGTTGGGAGCTTACCAAATCTAGTTGGCTTATAGTAAGTTCCATCAGGAAGCTGAACTGCTGGAAGACCTGAAGAAGTGTAACACTCAAAACTGAGTAGGTGCAAAGCATAAAGAGTAATAAAGATAAAGATGGCATTAAGAATGAAATAACTGCCAAAAATTTACAGCACTCCATGCTTTCTACAAAACAAAGGAAAACAAGGCTCTCCTACAAAACCGTGCACATGCGTGTTCATAATTATCTGGTTGTACTTGGGAGCAACCTTACTGCTAGGTTGTATGTCTCGGGAAAATTTTTGTACAAAGAGTGGCACAGATAATATAAGAGAATTACTTTAGGATGTGAATAGGAAAGTTTGTTATAACAAAGAGCAGGAAATAAAAGACGTAAGTAGGTAAGTAAATTTGAAGTTTTCCATGCAGCATTCTAGGTTGTTTTTTGTTGTCTTTTTTTAGTAAATCTCCAGATATTTTTGAAAAAGAGACGTTTAAGAAACCTGGGTAAAAAAGACATCAAACTGAGAAGCATATTTTGACTCACCAACTGTGGTGTAACGCACAAATGTTTCTTTGTTCTCAAGCATAGCGTCCACAGCTATCTTTTCACAATATTGAGCTGTAATGACAGCAATTGTAGGCTGCTTTGCACTAACCATTGTTGGCATTTGCTTGACAATCTACAAAGAAATCACACAATTTTATTTTTTGTTAATCCAATTTTTTTGGTTCTTATTGATTCTCAGTAATACCTGAATTTCAGAGTCTGCTTGTCCAACTCGTGTAAATGCACCATGCTCCAATGATTTAACAAGACCTTTACTTTGAAGCTGCTCAATACAAGAAGCTACTTGTTCCATTTCCCATCCATGAGTACTATGGGGTGGAGAAAAACAATAATAAGTTAACTTATATCAAACAAGAGACTGTAAGCACATAATTTGATGAATTACTTTGCAATATCTTGGATGGTGATAGGATTAGGGTAGGATGACTCAATTAACTCCAGAACCTTTTCTTCTGTAAGCTCAATCTTTTGACCCAAAATACTTTCATCGGCAGACACTAAAAGAAGAAAACAACCATAAGAAATATACTCTAAAAGATTTTTGAACAGTTCTAAAACAGAAGCTTACATGGTCTTGTTGGTGGGGCCACGGATTCTAGCTGCCTAAGTTCTATTTCCAGACGACGAATACTAGAATACCGGTGTTGCATTAGCTTCATGAGTTTTTTAATGAAGCCAACATAGTCTAATCAAGAAGTAAAGAAGATTCATAAGTAGGATTTTCATTCACAAAGATGAGCTGCGCAGTAAATGCCACAAACTTACCACGGGGGAATTCTTGAGGACTCACAAGCTCTTTGAAAAATTCTTGAGCAATATGAGGTTGTTGCCAGTCAGGTAATGAGGATATAAACCAAAATTGTAGATGCCTGCTTTCTTGTGTATGCTTTCCAGTTTGAGCACTGACCAAGAACACACGGAATTCTAAAGAGAGTTGAGCGGGTATGTCTGCAGTAAGATCTGGAATAAATCAGGATTTATTAGCTTCAAGGACAAGGCAGTATATAATTAGGATGGAACTATTAGTTGAGACAAATATTTACCACTTTGAGCAGTTTTATTGATGACAATGCCCTTGTGATCTCCACCAGCAACATGCACTGTGCCATCACCATTCACGGACGCTTTACTTTTCCTCTCAATAATTAAAGTTGTAGAATTAGATGTTTTGCACTTTGGTGTCATAACAATTTGATCTAGGAAATAGAAATGTTATTATAGTGACAATGGGAAAATTAAAGCATCAAGAAACATTTTTTTTCTCTACATGCAGTTTTACAAGATAGATAATTGTTCTTACCCAATGCTGGCTCCCCCATTGTGGATTAGGATATATATTTCTTGATATCAGGCAATCTAAACAGAGTGTACACGAGACTTAGCGAAGTTATCACAGGGAAATTACTGAGTCAAAGAACATATGGTCAATGGTCGGTTTCTCAAAATAAAATGCCTGGCTGTAATATGGATGAAATCATCGAACGTTGCAACGCACTTTGCAAAATTGAGACAAGATTGAATAAGCACAAAAGAATTATAGTTGGGAAATAAAACCAATTGGTTTCAGAACAGAGAAATGGAAAGAACAATTAATGTGATGCATTAGTATCTCGAAAGCCTGCCTTCTGAAAATATTTTAATTCCTTAAATGCCCTATGACTCATCTTCACGAAGATTAGTCATCCTCATATGGTTGATGCAACAAAGAGACAAAAGTTTTTTGAGAACTGCACAAAAATGTATTAAAATCACAACATTTCGAACTAGAAATGAAAGAAACCACTGTCACTTTGGAATTGACAGCTGCACATATAAAATCATCCTGTTACCTTGAGCCACACCTTCCAAGTGATAAAGGCCTTGACGGTACTCACTCAAGTGACGCACACGGAGGATTGAGTTGTGCTGGTGATCTTCCTACCAGTGCAGGCCACTGACATTAAGATCAATTACGTCCTGATTGAGTTAGAGGATTTGAAGACGTTAAGGAGTTCAAGCAACGCCCACTTCCAGCGCCATGAACAGCCGCAGCAGCTACAGCAACTACAACCTCCTCCAACAGCAACAGCAACGCAGCAACGCTTTGTTTTTTCGATGCCCGGAAGACAACAGGACTATGAGACTTTTATGACAACATATACTGGAGCCGATATAGATAAATACTTTTAATTTCTAAATTAAATGCCGAGTTGTGAAAGAACTCTAGAAAATGTGATGTCGAAGATACGTTTCAGAATCCAAATTTAAGTCTAATCATCGGGGCCGAAGTACAGGTATCATCGAGGAATGATGACAATGTCCAGTATTTTTTTTTTTCATTTTCTCAGTAGATTTCTCATAATTGCAAGCTACCAGCCCCTTCAAGAGGTCCGTTCTCTGGCAAATTTAATGTAATGTACATCTTATTGGACGAAGCGAACATAGTTACCTGCATACATATCTTATTCTCCGATTTTATTTCGGTCACTTATCAGTCATGAAGTTGAGCGACATACTCAGAGTAGCGGAACGTAGTGGGAAACATATAGCACCATAACCTAAGAACTGTTTTCAATTGCAGTGTCCGAAACACATTTAAAGTTGCTGACTTTACCTTTGAATTGATGTCAGATCTTTACCTGAGAGTTTTGATTCTTTTGTTAAGAGCAGTTTCATTGATAAATGATTAACTTAGATGTTAAGTCCTAAGATCTCCACAGAAAGAAAATAGAATTGAACTGTACCTACCTACTTTATTGCCAATTGTAAATAGTAGAGTACTCAGTTCCTCTTTGTTTCTCCCTGCTATACCCCATGTGCAAGGTCAATGTTCGGATATCCTGATCAATTCCTTAATAGTGCACTGACCAGTTGCCCAGACTGCTGGGTAGTTAAGCTTTGAAAAATCAGAAATACTGCCGTCTCACAACTACGCAACACCTGGAGGGAGGGGGGGCTATCCAGCAGACGTTCCCAAGACATTTGGCCGGGGAAGTCTAAAATCAATATGACATTTTCCGCGGTACACATTGGAGGACTTTCTCCATGGCTTCCGGTCAGTCGGAGCATCATAGGGAGGGGGGGCATTTGTGCTTGGGGTCGTCAACGGACACTTCTGGAGCGGCTTACTCATACTCATCTCAGTTCTGACTCCGGCTGGTATTTTTTTTTTTTTTATGGATTTGCTTGGATGTCGCACGATGTCAGTCGTGTGGAGGTAGGTTGCAATGATAATGGTAAAAGTGAAAAAAATGACCGTTTATTTTCTTGCGTGTAAGCGTATTTATTTTCTTACACAAACGAATAGACACTTCCGTCCGGGACGCCGTACGATTTACTGCGTGCGCTCGACGTCGTAGTTCGTGATGGACTGGATCCATGGCAAGTAACTGCCCAGCTTGGTGAAGACGCCGGGCCGGCCCCTGCTGCAGCCGTTGTTGGGCGTGAGTGTGGCGATGCCGATCACCTTGGAGACGGTCGTCCCCTCGACGGCGGCCTCCACGATCAGCGGCGCGCCCGAGTCGCCCTGCGTGCAACAGGACAGTGAACAGACGTCACCTCCCCGAACCTCGGCTTCACCCTCCGCCTCCTCTGATGGCGGCTCCGCCCCGCCCTTACCGTGCACGGGCCCTTGTTGATGAGCCCCGCGGTGCAGAGGTGCGCGCCGCTGATGGGCTTGCCGAGGTGCGCCAGGGTGCAGACCAGGTTGGGCACCACCCGCGAGGAGATCTGACGGAGCTTGGGGGACGGCGACTTGAACACTGTGGACAGCAGGGGTCGAGGTAAGTCACAGGGGACAGGGGGTGGGATTTCGAAGACAGGTGACCTTGACCTGCAGGTAGGTCTGTAACTGTCTGTACTACGCACCGTCGTTCGGGTAACCCCAGCCGGACATTTTCACCTTCGTGGCGAGGTAGCTCTTTGTTGTGTCGTCGACCGAGAGGAGGAGGGCGGTTGATGTAGCTGGACCAAACAGCAATAAAAAGTGTTTACCGCACCGTGATAGTTACTGTGAACCCAGAACTTAGCGTTCTGCTGGGCCGGGGCTCAGAAGAGTTGTTGCGCTCCCTCACCAGCGGCGCCGACCGCCTTGTCGATGGGGAGGATAGCCAGGTCGGCGGTGGTGAAGGTCTTCAGGAACTCGGGGTGGATGATCGCGGTGTTGGCATTTTGGTCGGCCACGTCCGGGGAGGTCGTCGTCTTCACCTCGTTTTTACCGATAAAGATGTTGTGCGTCGTGCCGCTGTGAAAGAGGAGGCCGTTGCTCGTGACTGATCCTTTGCATCCCTGCTGGACTGGGCGAGCAGCCCCGCGTCGTACTGTACTCACGCGAGGGCGCAGGTGGCGGAGGTGAGGACGAAGTAGGCGTCCGCCCCAGCCGCGTCAGAACCCAGGATCAGCACCCCGGAGCACACGGGCAGGTCGACCTGGAGGCCGTTCTGGGTGCGGCGCGGCCGGATGGCCACCTGGAAGCTGTACGTCTTCGCGTCCTCCACCACGTCGCCGCCCGTCATGCTCAGCCTGGCGGATCCTGCGGCCGAAGCGAGAGTAAGGTGAGGGTGTCGCTGTAGCCTTTAGGCGGGTCCCTCGGCCACGCCCTGGGCGGTCACGAACCATTGTCCACAAAGGCCTGGGCCGCGGCGGCCAGCAGCGCTAGACAGGCGATCTCCTTCAACATGCTGACTGTGTGAACGGCGTGCAGAAGACGGTTCGGTAGTGCAAGCTCCAAAGGAGCGCTCCTATTTATGAAGACGGAACAACTACTTGCGCCTTATCGCTTGAGCAAAGGACCGCGTGACGCCCGTCTCTTCGTTGAAAGTCGTATCATTTTAGTGCAAAATCCAATCAGGGAGATGACACCCTCGCACGCGTCACAAATAATGCACTACAGCAAAGATGATATACTCGCGAGGCCGACTAAGTGGTCCCACTCAATCTTGGTCGCGTGATGTTTTCTTTTTAGATCAGGAAGGGATACAAAAATAGGGCTGATGTGTGTATTTCGATCACGGAAAAAAATAATTAGTTGTCGTAATCAGAAGTTGATTACTACGACCAGAAATTCTAGTAGCTTGTGGGACGATCGACTTTCTGATTGTAAGAACCAAACTGCTTCGTAGTCACTACTTAGTTGCGAAAAGCGGAAAGTTGATTCTGAGGATCAGAAATACGGTCGCCGGGACCATCTTTTAGCTGGTCGTGAGAAC